TGAACATTGCTCAACATCATGAAAATTAAACCTTTTTTTCTAATAAGCAATCCTGAAAAATATTTGGGGGTGCTTAACTTTTTTCCAGGTGTATATATATATGTATACACATCAAACAAAATGAATCGACAGTAAATCCTGAGGAAGAAAGAAAGCTAATATAATTTTTATTTAAAGATTGTGTATTACAATATAGATAGACTTTTGAATAAAATTAAACATATGATAAGTAGGATTTATTTTACAAAAAATATGCATTATATCGATGAATGTCTTAAGGACAGAATATAAATCTCAGCAGCTTCTACGTTATTGAAAGATAAATACTAACATTCTTTAAATATGTTTATATACCCGATAACAAGAAAAACTTGCTTTATTTAGCCAGAATTAATTTTGTCAAAATGATATCCAATAGCACTTTTTTTAATTATAAAAATATATCCAATCAAGGCAGTAAATGTCGTGAGATGTGCAGCTTTTTAATTTTTAATCTTTGTTAAATAAAATAGACGTTTTTTAAAGAATATTTCAATATTTTGCTAGGTAATGATTGTGAGGAATTTCTAATGTTTGTTAAATGAAATCGGCTTTTTTTTTAGAATATTTCAATTTTTTACCAGGTAATAATTGTGACACGTTGTGTGCTGAAGCTGATTATCTTTTAACAAAATCTCACGAGAAAGAAAACGAAGGAGATCTAGTCATGGCTGCTATGTTGAGTGATTCAGCAGCAGGTACGTGGACTCTGTTTCAATAATAATACAGTAGTTGTAATATTACTATTATTATTGTGCTTTTGAGCGTCAAAATAGTTGCTACATGGTTTTTCTTTAGCAGCTTCAGAACATCAGTGATATTGTATCTGTATAATCGCTTTCGTATAGTATATTTCTTACAGATTTTCCAAATGTGGTCTTTATACATTTTACAAAGAAATGAATATTGTACCCATGTATTTTCTAATGCTACAAACGGTCCTGTCATCATTGTTGTGTATTTTGATCTCGTTAAAAAAATTCACGTATATTTAATTAAATTGAGAAATGTTTCGTAAGCATTACTGATTCACATGCTTCACTGGAAAAATGTTTATTTATTATGTTTATTTTTGTAAACTTCCTTAGTTTTACCTGTATCATTAGTTAAATCATCGAATTTTGTAATAATTTATGTTAAATACTTGATTGTATTGTAAATATCGATTGTCTTATTTTTGTTGATGCCATAGCAAAAGCAAGAGCCGCCATGGACGCCCCATACAACAATTCACAATCTCTCGTCTCAGCAAAGATGAAACATAGCTTCTGTGTTATGAGATCATCCAGTCTTCATAAACGTTTGAAAGAAGCAGAAATGGAAGAGCGAAGGAGACAGAAAGAGACCTCAACCTTGGAAGGTCACCACAGCCGACAGTCTAGTCGGGACAGTACGCACGGGCGTCACAGCCGACAAGGCAGCAAAGATAATTCCTCGGGTTCACATAGCCGACAAGGTAGCAAGGATAGTTCAAGTGGCAAGCAGCTCATGTCTGACTTTGATTCAAAAGCTGGAAAAACAATAGAAATATATGCGACACTGCCTAAAAAAGGTAGTAAGCGTAAAAGTCATAATAACAATCCTGTTGGCTCTCCTAAAACCAAGGAAGAAATCAATGTATATGGAGATCTAGTTGATAAACAGAAGCAGACAAATAAATCTGAGGTTTCTTTCCAAAGACCAGATCAACTGAAAGTAGTAAACGGACAGAAACTTCGTGCCAAAAGTAAAGAGTCTTCTTCAAAATCAGGTAGTGAAAGAAAGAAAATCTCTCAATTAGAAAAATATCCCGAACAGAGTTTACAAACAGAAAATAGGCAAGGATCTACAGAACATACTTTGAATCCAATGGGATCTGAAATATACAACTATACTAGTGAATGGAGCTATAACAAGAATAATTTTTCCCATAGAACATGGTCTAGTTATCCATTTTCTAAAACGCATACTTCAGATAAACCCGAAGACATAATACTTCAGACAAGTGACCAGTGTAACAAAAAGCAACATAAAATTCGAAAGAAACTTATGGGAGGATTTATGAGGAGAAAGAATCGTAGTTTGCCTGACCTAAGAGTAGGGCAGGATCCAAGTGACTCTGCATCACATTCGTTTGACGACTGTGTGATAATACAGACTCCTATATCTTCAAAGTCATTTGACAATAAACTGGCAAATAAAACTGACTACCGATCTGATATACAAACAACCCATATAAGTAGGGGGTTTCACCAGCCTCATCGAGCATTTATAAAAAACAACATTCAACAGCAGCGACCACTTGTGAAAGTGAATCCACCTCACGTGGTAGAAGTAGTGTCACATCCTGACTGTGACATAACTAATAACCATGCTCAAGATGACCCAGAGTTTCCTCCTCCTCCACCTGACCACATGCTTCTCATTCATTCTCCTGATGCCTTAACTCACGTTGATTACAACTGGGAAGCCCAGTGTATTGAACCTCCCCCTCCCCCTCCTCCCACTGAGCTTGACATCCTTCCGGCATTCTTATCAACGGGAAAACATGGTCAAATCACAGAATTGTATCAACAGCCTCTGGGAAATGAATTTCCACAATCTTCATCTGAAGCTCAATTTGCGAAGCTTCAACAGGAAAACAGTGCTACACCAAACGCATTTCTAGCAGAAATCAAAGCTAAGCGAGAGAAAATTTTTCTAAAAGCTTCAAGTATAGAAAATCCTGCTGAAACAGCAGCAGATAACCCAGTTAGAAATGTTAATGGAACGAAAGAGTTCAGAGATCATCCTACATTATGTTATCCCCAGACAGGGAATATGTGGTTACACGAACTGCAGAATAAACAGTTTCAGATTTTGCAAAAGAAAAACCAGTTCTCTGAAAGAGCACCCACAGTAGTATCAGAGACAAATTTCCCAGGTAATTTGGTTTTTAAAGGCATAATTTCTAAAGAATGGATTTTCATGAATTCATTTAATACCTTTGATATATTTCATATTTCAGTAATTACCATTTGGTGATTATTGACAATTAATTTTATTACCTATTTACAAATTATTACTTATTAATTGCATAATGATCCAGGACAAATATATGAAACCCTATAATCCAAGCGCTTTCGAAAAGTAGACCTTTTTTCAAAAGGGGCAAACTGGTGAAGAAAGGTCTATTTTTCAAAACTCTCGGATTATAGAATTTCGTATATTTTTTGCCCCTGATGAAGAAAGGTCTATTATTTGAAAGCGCTCAGGTTATAGGATTTCTTGTCTTTGTTTTTAATTGATTTATTGAATCTTCGTGTTTTCCTACATAGTAATTCACTTGTTAAGTCTCTTGTCATATTCGAATGTTGTCCCAATAAAGATAGTTTTGAGGCTGTAGTAAATTAGGTGTGGTTCTCTAGATTAGTAGTCTGGGTTAGGATGTTAACTAATGTGAGTTACTATATTGTAACTTTTACTACCGCATTTATCAAAAGTAAAAATATATTTACAACAATCAGGGAAGAACAGCCAGTAGAAAGAATTCCGATCTACAGCCTATAAAACTATAGATGAAACCTTATTAATTCTAGACTAAAGACTGTCATGACAACACTTACAGCAGCAGTTAACTTAGTAGCTAAAATGTTATTCTTTAGTGAATTGTAATTTAATTAGTTAGGAGTAAAAGCTAGTGACTTGTTAAGGTTTACCCTCTTGTTTGGATTTAAATTAAAATATTAGTTATTGTTTTTATCCAACCGTTTGATCATTTTACCTGATTCTTACTAAGTAAAAATAGCAGTAAGTATTTAATTCTGGAGTGTAAGAAAATCAGTAATTTCTTAAAATTAAAACTCGGTTGAAAGAATAAAAAAACAAGTTATTTTTAATTATTTCTTATAACGTAGGAAGCCCCGAGGCACCCAATCAGAAACAAGCTCAGAGTGAAGTGGAAAATAATGGAAGAAGTGTAAGACAGATGTTTCTTATTTATCGACATGGTGTCTAATTGGCTAAAAATATTTCATATTATAAATATGTGTATAGCTATGATTGTTAAAGGAATCTAGTCTTTGTACATTCAACCTGCTTTTGTTATTGATTTATGAGGTAGATGCATTTATATATTAATTATCTGCGAATTCGAATATTTGTAAAAGTACATTTATCTTCCAAATCAATTTTCACATTCTTCATAAATGTTCGGCCTTCCATTGCTTGGTGGTTAGGGCGATCGAGTCTGCATCTGCGGGTCGTGGGTTCGAATCCTATCCCCCTAACGTGCAAGCTCTTTCAGCAGAGCGTTATGATGTAATGATCAATTCTACTTTTAAATTAGAGTAAACAAAGAATTGGCGATGGGTGATGTTAATTAGCTGCTTTCCTTCTAGTTTATCAATTCTAAATTAGGAACGGCTAATGCAGCTAAGCCTTAATAGGTTTGTGCGAAATTTAATAAACGACAAAAAAAAGCTACTAATTCTTAGCGGTTTCTATTACGCTGCTTTTGTTTAATTTAACATGTAAAATACTCATAATTACCAATAACTGTCATATCTCTGAAACAGTTAGTGAAATTGAAGAGCAAAAAAGCTACTCTATTATTACTCATCTTAAAAAATATAAAACAAAAATCATGGACTGGAAGTATTTATTTTCTACTTATTTATAAAGTTATGATGAAACTATTCGATTTCGTTTTGTTATGAGCTATTAAATGTTCTTGATGTGAAATTTTCAGATTCACGTGGTTTCTGATGGTTCTCAGTTGACACCTTTAAACAAGGGGTCAGCTATAGTGGTTCCGGTCCCGAAGCATGAAAATAACAAAAATCACGATGCTGCAGATGAGAGAAGGCCCCATTCAGTAAAGGATCTTACCTCAAGGTTCGAGTCGATTTTGAAACCCCAAAAGTCGAATGAAACAATCTCTGCTAATGTAGTAACAAGTAACATCTCACCAAAGAAGAGTTTTGAATCTAAGAAGAGTGAAACTTCAGTTAATGACATCTTATTAAAAAGTGGTCTCATTGATCAAGCTACATCCGAGAAGAGCAGAGGACAAAAATGCGTTAGGAATGTAAACAACAGTAGTGACATTCAGAGCCTAAAACGAATGGTCATTCATGCTGATCCATCAGATGTAACTTCGCTGTTCCCAGCATCACACCCAGGTAACCTTCATTTTGTTATGAGTGAGAAAATAAACGAGGGAAGCTTACACCACATCGAAGGCAGTCCTTCTCTGAATAACTTAAGGGATAGTCACTCTTCAAAAGACATGCTACAAATAAATACTCATCTTTCTTCAGAATCCAGACGTCCAGAATGCCCACCCGATTACGAGACTGCTATACAAAGAATCGGATTGTTGAAAGATCGGACTCAACCACAAGTTGATGATATTAGTCAGAATGGTACAAATTCTGCGGGTGAAGAAAATTCATTTTGTACTCGGACTCCTAATGAAATTAAGCAGAGTTTTGCAACTTTTTCATTAAATGAACAGCAGTGCAATACCATGAATAAGAACTCACATGAAATCAGTATACAAGAACCAAAAACAAGTAGTACTTCGAAAAAAAAGAACAGCCCCAAGAAAAGTGTAACATTTTCAGAACAAGTAGTTCTAGTAGCATGTGCAGAAGATAATGAGAACGAGTACCTCCCAAATCCTCTTCTGGAAAGAGTTTACAAACAACACTTTCAAGAAGAATCGGAAAAGCCTACAAGTGAAACATGTATCTCAAATCCTATTAAGACAAGTGCATTGCATGCTTTTCCTGGATCAAATGTACAAACAGTATCCGGTTCTGGTGTTCAGAAACCCTGTGATTTATGTCACCAAAAGACAGTTTCTCAATCACAAGTTTATTGTTCAGATTGCTCATTCTATATGTCCAAATTTAAACCTCGCCAGTAGTTGGCGTTTCAAAGTGTATATATTATACATAACATAATTTGACAGCTGTTTTCTGTGGCACGTGTATATATACCTCTTACCATCTCAAAGAATTCATTTTTACCTGTAAGTACTCGTGTAATAATTTTCACTAATCTGTATTTGAAAGTTTACTTTTTCTAAAATTATTTGTCTTGTATTTCTCATTTTGTCCTTTGAACAAAGAACCAGAAGACACACCGAGTCCTCTGGAGTTCCATACGTAACATTCCATGCTTGTACATACATATGTATATTTGTAAACTCTGTAGTGTTTTTCGAATGTGTGAAGCTTCGGCGAGTGCCAAAGGTTACCATGTACTTTTACTTGCTAATTCTTGTAATATTAATTTGAATTTAAGTTTTACACTTTTATTTAATTTTTAATTTTACTTTAATTTTGTAAAATGATGGATATTACAAACATTGGACTTAGCAACAGTACAAAGACAATAGTGAACCTTGGCAAACTATATCTATAGATTTCTTTTATACTTTGAAAAATGAACAATTCGATAAATAAGCTATACGTCTCCATGAGCTGAGTGAAAGTCTATGTTATTTATATACGACTGGTACTTTTAATAAAAATAAATAAATAACTGTATTGTTTGTAATTAAGCACAAAGCTACACAATGGGCTATTTATGCTCTGCCCACCACGGGTTTCTAAACCCGGATTCTAGCGTTGTAAGTCCACAGACATATCGCTGTGCCACTGGGGGGCCAATAAATAACTGAATAAATATTAGTAAGAAGAAACTGTGAATAGGAATGTTACTCTTAAAAGACTACCGATAGGCTTGTGACTTTTTTAGTAAAACTGCACCAATACTCCTGCGATTTTGTGACTTCTTAATAAGACCACCAATAAGCCTTTGACTATTTACTAAGATTCTACCAATAGATTTCTGCCTTTATTATTCAACTAATAAAAGTTTGATATATAAAAGTTGCTTTGGTTTTAATAACGAATTTTTCATAATTCAGATACGCAGATTTGGAAAATAAAATTATTTTTTTTTCTAGCTCGTAAGGATTTTTTTTACAAATCGGGAAGAAAAAAACTCTTACTTAGATCAAATTATTATTTCGTTTACCACAATGAACATTTTTATTATTATGTTTATTAACAAAAATACAAACAAACTGAAGAAAAGGGAAGAACATTGATGTCAAACGAATATGCCACCTCTTCATTCTGATTTTTTGTGTGAAATATTCCTTCTTTTAGTGTCAAAAGTATGTCTTGTGGTTTTTCTTTTATGTATTGCGTCTGGAGCATTTTGTTTCAATGACGAGCAGTAATCAACCATCATGCTGATGTTCCACCTTCCCTGATATCCCCTCTCTATTTCCCTGATGTCTTGACGAAACCTTTCCCCATGTTCTTCGCTGACGGCACCGAGATTTTCAGGGAAATAGTCAATATATGAGTGTAAGAAACCAACTTTAAAGGTCATATTACAACCCAACTCTTTGAATTTATCGAGCATGTTATTGACAATATTTTCGTAATTTGGGTCCCTGTTGTTTCCTGGAAATGTGTCAATAATATCTTTAAAGGCAATTCACGTTTCTTTTTCAGCTTTCCTCATTCTCCTTTTGAACTATTCATTCGAAGTCAATTTCCTAATCTGAGGCCCAACAAAAAGTCCTTCTTTAAGTTTCGCTGAGAATTTACCACAAATATACTTGAAACAGTCACCATCTTTGTCTAAAGCCTTTACAAACTGCTTCATCAAGCTCAGTTTTATGTGAAGCGGAGGTAATAGGATTTTCTTCGTGTCAACCAAACTTTCACGTTCAATGTTTTTCGATCCTGGTATCAGGCTGACTCTGCATGGCCATTGCTTTTTTATCCAGTGCTGATTTCGTGCTCTGCTTTCCCATTCACACAAAAAACGTGAAAATTTGTATAACCGGATTGTTGACCCAACAACATACAAAGGACTTTTAAGTCTCCACAAAGTAGCTAACCATGTCTTTGTATTTAACCTTATTAAGAACAAGTTCGAGATTTTCGTACGTTTCCTTCAAGTGAACCGAATGAGCAATAGGAACAGATACAAATATGTTACCATTGTGAAGGAGAACATCTTTAAACTTCTTTTGGATGAATCAATGAACAATCGCCACTCACTTGGTTCATAGACTGCAGATCCTGGCATTGGTATTAATTCAGCAATATTGTTGCAATAAACTAGTGAACCTTCTTGCGAAAAGTATAGTATAAACTCTTTCTCACGATTTTTGTACCAGTAAAAATGATGTCCCTGGAGAAAGTAAGTTTTTAGCCCAAAGTCTGGACCCCAAAATCTTTGAAGAATCCTTTGGAAGGCCCAAATCTCTCAGCAAAACATTAAGTTCACCTTGTGTGAAAAGTTGTAGTTCATCAGACGTTTCAGGTCGAAAACAATCCCTATCATAATTTCTATTGACATCGTATTCAGAATCAGATGAAACTGTACCACTAGTCTTCGGTGGAGTAGGTACAGGTACATCATGTTCATGAGCAACGGGTCTTATAGCTTTGTTTGTTTGTTTGTAGTTATGCACAAAGCTACACAATGGGCTATCCGTGCTCTGCCCACCGCGGCTATCAAAACCCAGTTTCTAGCGTTGTAAGTCCGCAGACATACCGCTGTGCCACTGGGGGGGGGGCGGTCTTATAGAAGACTGAAGGTTGGGATAAGAAATTTCCTTTTTACTTCGAGTGTTGTAGCCTTGCACGTTAGATGAGCAGAAATAGCAGTCATCTCCATGGTTTCTAGGCTCATGCCAAACCACTGGAATTCCAAAAGGCAAATACATTTTCTTACTTTTAATCCATTTCTCAACTCTTCGACACAAGTGGTGCAAACTTTGTGCAGAGCCCATGATTTGTCTTGGTCCCCAAGTTTTATTCCAAAATGCGTATAGTACTTTTTTTTTTGACGAATTCTGTAATGTTTTGCCTTTGTTTCTTTACAACAAATTTACCACAAACATAACAAAATATGTTTGGATCATTTACACAACCTCTTATTGCCATAGCGACGAATAAATAATATTGAAAAGAAAAAAATAATGTCAAAGTGCACACACAAGCAAATACTATCCAGAAATGACACGTCACGTGGCCTGTTAACCGTTTATATAATAGCGGTGCGTTTCTCGTGGGTTCTAGAATGATCGATAAGACTCTCACGTTGCGATTGGTCTAGAGAAATCTGTAGCCAACGGTTGTCAACATTTTAAGTATAACAAAATGTGATCCGATTTCAATGAAAGTGAATTATATAAAAGTACATATGACATTTTTTGAAAAATCTGTACGTGATGGAGAAAAATGGATATCATTTTCGGATTCCGCGTACAGGAATTATTGTAGAACATGTAACAATCTCAATACAATATAACCATCGCAGGCCTGTGTTATTTAGTAACTTTCTATCAATACCCTTTTGACTGTTGTGAGACTGTACTGATAGACATGTGACTGTTTAGTAAGGCTGCACCAGTAGAGTTGTTAAACTAGTAAGACTGAAACGATAGGCTACTCTTGAGTAAAATTTAGTAAGACTTTTGATAGGTTTGTGAAGGTTTAGTTCAACTGTTGACAATGTAGGTTCTGAAATAAGAATACCGATGTGCTTGTAACTTGTGTGCGACTGCACTGATAGGTCATTGACTCTTTACATGGCCGAAGTTACAGAGTTGGGAAATATTATTAAAGCTATCAATACTGGCAAACACTTACAGGGAGAAGTGATGTGTTTTGGACGTGACAGCCTTGTCTTACGATGGAACCTTTTGAAATGGAAACTACACTGCAGGGCTATTGTCAAGGTGTATAGTCGTCAGGTAGAGCATGACAGAACGTGGTGACATGGACTGTAACAACTTGGTGAGGTACAAAATCATTGTAATACATATATTATTGGCAAACACTATAATTTTATGACAATACACAAACCAAAAAATCACAACAGACCAGCTACAGCCTAATTAACTTAAATTGATTGAGTTTTTGTCTTAAAAAAACCGTTACTGATTGAATTTTTGAGTTTATTTTTTGATGTGAATCGAAAAGTTTTCCCATGGAGACATGAGATTATCTTTTCATCCACACAGTTTTCTTCATAATTTCCACGTGCTCTTTCTCTGTTAAGTTTGAGATAAACTAAAAGTATTTCATAACTTAAATACACTCTTACAGTTTCGGATAAAAAGTTCAATTTTGTGTTTATACAAGGTTTGTATGTATATGTATGTCAAGCGTGTTTACCCTTTGGATGTATTTTCACTTTTTATACAATTCTTTAGTGTTTCTTGCTTATATCCAAAGTTTAACGATGCCTTTTACTGAATACAAATGCTACAGATTTAGCAATATAAATAACACAAAATGTTTTCCAATAGGCTTTGAAAAATATATTACCGAACTGATGAATAATAATAATAAAAAAAAGACTGGTTAAAGCAAAAACTTAAAAAAAGTTCCATTATGTAGCCCAATGTCTATTGTGCTTGAAATCCTAAGAAATAAATCTGATCATGGGCTATCTGTGCTGTGGCTCACCACGATTATCGAAACCCGGTATTTAGCTTTTTAAGTTTTCAGCTTTACATCTGAGACCCTGGGAGACCTGATCATTTTAGATATAATTTTAGTAAGCAGTATTTTGGATATTATTGTTTATGAGTGAGAGTAAATTGAATTTCTTTCACCTAAATTAGTCAGTGTACAGAAGATGAGTAAATGGTCTAAATGACCGTGACATGCAGTCTGTTCAAAAGTGGCGTTAAAAACAAAGCTTAAAAATTTTTAGATTATAGAAAAATATATTTTGGAATATTAATCGAAATCATTGACTGCAACTGTTTTCAAGTTAGTATTTTGAAGCCCGTTTATCCTTCTTTTAGACAGTCTCTAATACGAAAACACAAAATTGTATACTCAATGATATCTATTAGGCATATCTTAGCCACTCTTGTTACTTTATTGCATAAATGTATTAGGTAGCGAATGATAAAACATTGAAAAAATGCAAGAAATTCAATTGCTTTGAAAAGTTTGTCATTTAATTAGTTTTTTTTTTTTAATTTTTTTTTTTTTTGGTGTTTTTTATTTTTTTACTTCTCCCCCCCTAC